CTGAGGCCCAAGGACATGACCTTCCCTCAGCTGGCCCTGTATTACCCTGGCTTGGGCACTTGCAGCATCAGTGGGTAGGGCAGAAAGTTGTAGAGAGGCTAAGGAAGTCTTCAGTTTGGCTTCAGGGAAGGGTAAACTGAGTGTCTGAGGTGAACAACGATCTGAGAACATCTGGTGGGGAGATTCCTAGACTGAGGCGTCCCAACTAGACATCTCCTTTAATCCTCACATCTGTACCGTGAAGGAGAACTTACTACTCCCATATTACAGCCGAGGACACTAAGATGTAGTGACTGACTTAAGGTCACATGGCTTTAAAAGGTGGAGTCAAGGCCGGGTGGCAGTGGCGCACAGCTTTAAATCCCAGCACTCGGGAGGCAGAGCCAGGCGGATCTCTCTGTGAGTTCGAGGCCAGCCTGGTCTACAGAGCGAGATCCAGGACAGGCACCAAAACTACACAGAGAAATCCTATCTCGAAAAACCCGAAAGAAAAAAAAAATGTGGAGTCAAGATTCAAACACTCAGACTGGGGATTTATAGCTCAGTGGTGGATCACTTGCTTAGCATGTAGCAAGTGCAACATCCTGGGCTTGATACCCAGCACCAGGAAGGGGGGAAAATCAAGCTGAGTATGGTGATGCTCACCTTTAACCCTAATTAATACCTTTGATTTCAGCACTCATGAGGCAGAGGTAGGCAGATCTCTCTGAGTTTGAGGTAAGATCTTGCCTCAAAATAAAAAAAAAAAAAAATAGTGGAGCAGTGGTAGTGGTGGTTCACACCTTTAATCCCAGCACTCGAGAGGCAGAGGCAGGAGGATCTCTGTGAGTTGGAGGACAGCCTGGTCTACATAGCGAGTTCCAGGACAGCCAGGACTGTTACACAGGGAAACCCTTTCTCTAAAAACCAAAATTAAATAAATAAACAAACAAACAAACAAATAAAAAGTAAACAAATAAAAGATGAATCAATTCTAACTCTACCACCTCGGCAGCAGCAAGGTGCTATCTCTGCTGTGACTCCTGAGTCCTATGGCTTCGAAGAGTACAGTGCAATGGTCACATGCAAACTCCCTGAATTGATGTCCCCACTTAGTGGCTGTGGGACTTGGGAGGACTCATTTCATCTCTCTGTGCCTCAGTTTCTCCATCTACCATCTGAGAATAGGGCCCACCTGGTGGTAAGGGTGTTGCGAGGGTTCAATAACTCATCACTCTCCGAGTGTTTAGGATACAGTAGGGCACGTGTTAAATGCTACGTCAATATTTCATACCTTGCACTTCCTGCATGCCTCTTTTTAATTATCATTTCCTTTCTGTCTTCCTCAATGCTCCTTCTGTTTCCCCTCCCAGCTCTTTCTCTGTCGCCAACCATCCCACAGTCAGCCTACACTCCCTACGCCCTCTACACTCTCTTTTTAATCAGGGGTGCTGGTGGAACTCTGAGATAACTACGATCCCAGAGAGTCCCCTCCTCGTCCTCAGTTGGTGCTGCTGCTCCTCTTCCTCCTTCTCTTTCTCTAGGCCCCCAGAAAACTCTGCTACATTCTTTCCTACCTCTAACATAGATTCTCCCCACCCCAGAAATGTTTAACCTGAACCCAGGAGAAGGGAAGCCTGAGAGAGAGGACAGGGAAATCCCAGCCTGGCCTGTGGTTCCCACGGTAATGCTGCGGCTAAGGCAGAGGAGCTCTTCAGAATCTCTAGAACCATCTACCATGTAAGTTCATGGGCTGGGAGAGGGGCTACAGGAACCAGAACCAGAACCGACGGGATGAAGAAGGGCAGAGGACCACAGCATGGCATCCCACTGGTGGGCCACAGGCAGGTCTACATCTCTTTCCATTAGTAATCATTTCTAGGATCAGCATCTCTGGTTGTTCTTTGTATCTCTGCTTTTTCCTCCTCTCTCATCTCTCTCAACCTCCAAACTCCTCCAAATAAACTATCACAAGAACTCAAACCCCAACAACACTGCCCTTCACTCAGCTCCCATGTGTGAAGGAGCCCCTGTTCCTCACTCAGTACCACCCATAGGTCCAGGACCCTCCAACTCTCTACCCCAGTGCTCCCCCGAGTCCTGAAGTATTAACTCCGAGCCTCTGGGACCCTTCTCCTTTTCCTTCCCTCGTCCATGAGGTCCTCATCCCAAGTTAAACCCTGGTGGAGCCAGGAGTCCAGGGCCCCTAAGGCCCCTGAGCCATAGCTCAACAGGCTGGGCTACATTCCAGGTGGATTAACCCCTCCAACGCCAAGAGCGATAAACTAGTAGATCACCCCCAACCCAGCTTTTTCCCCAGATTCTGCACAGACTGGGAATAGGTTCTCCACTCCAGCAATCCTTGTCATGGCATCTTACCTACAGATAGGAAACAGACCTCCAGGGTAAGGCAGGGCTTCAACAGGAGGTACCAGGGAGGGATGCTCAGCTTCCCCAGCCCCCCAGGCCCCTACCCCTTGTCCTCACCAAGGATACTCTGAGTTAAGCAAAGGACAAGCCAACTCTCCCTGGCCCTGGCCTTCATCCTCAACCTCCTGGGAGGGGAGACTTGGAAGTAAAGAGGAAGGAAGGTAGCTTCCTCTCTCCCAAGTCTGGCCTCTCTGGGAAGTGGGGGGGGGGGGCGGTGCGCTCCAGTCCCAGGTAAAAGAAGACGGCAAGAAACTGGAGGTAGCACAGAGTGAAAGGGAATCCTAAAGGAGGGCCCTGACTGTCTGGGTCCTTCGGGGACCTGCAGAAGTCAGAGGACACATCCCTCTTCCAGGATGCCACCTCAGATGGTGTGGCCTGGAAGGCGGGGCAACTGACTTGGGGAAAGGGTTCTTACAAAGCTGCTTCTCTTAGAGATGAGGTGGAGTTGAGGGGAGGGCATGGATGAAGGGGGCTGCCGGATGGAGGGGGGGCGTCTCCCTGCTGCCATGCCCGCTCCAGAGCCTGGAACAAAGCTGCTCTTGTCAACTGCTCTCCGCCCGCTGCCCCCCTCCCCTCTGTATAAACACGACCACCTTTTTCCATGACCCCATCTCCAGAATGGGCGGAGGAGAACCCAGGCATCCTCTGCTCTAGCCTGAGCCCCCAGCCCGCCCGCCCGCTCTCCAGGAGACCCACAGTGAGCCCGGCTTCCCTGGCTCCCTGCCATGGTTGGGGGAGTCTAGACCCCTCCATTCCCCACCTCTCATCCTCAGGTGCCCTCCCTCTAACACACTGGCCCCAGGGAGGGGCAGTACCCAGGAGGCAGGCAGGCAATGCCCGTGGAATGTGTGTGGGCATCAGAGGGCACGGGCAGGGTGGGGCAGAGGGGGGAACTGGAGGTGCCAGTTAGGTGGCTTTCTGAGCCAGAGGTGGGGGTGTGCCGGGGTTGCAGGGGGCGTGTCCTGTGCTGCCTACCAGCTCCCAGTCACTGTGTGTGTGTGTGTGTGTGTGTGTGTGGTGTTTGGGATACCCAAGCTTCGAGCACCCTGGACACACACACACTCACTCCCCTTAGGCCCCTCCAGTCTTCTCCTCACTGACAATGGCTGTGGTCCTCAACCTCAACTCAGTATTTGAAGAACGACCATAAGGGCAGGAGCTTCCTCAGCCTTTGAGGAGTAGGATTCCAGCGGCCCCAGGCTGGAGCCCTAAAAGAGGGTGTTATCCGAGCATTTTGTCCTGGGGTCCTCTCCTCAGACATCCCAGCTGCTCCCTCCCTATGGCCACCAACTAGGCATATTCTTACCCGCTGGCCTCTGCAGAGATTCCCTCCTACATACTGGGCCAGGCTGAGGTGAGGGGACCTGGTGGAAACAAGAGAAGGTCTGTCAGCGGCGGCACTCCAGGACTAGGACTCCCGAACCTGCCCCGGTGTCCTAACTCTTTGTTCCATTGGGGCTTCCCCCCTAGAATATTCCAAAAAGGCCAACTCTCCCCCCACACACACACCACCACACACACACTTCATTGGCTTACTTGTGTAGCTAGGGATAGGTCAGCGGGAACCCTGACCCTGCAGTTCAAACTCCACAGACCACTTTTCCTCCCAGCTCCTGACCCAGATAGCCAGGACCACTTGCTCGACCCTTCCCTGGTCATCTGCAGAGACGTGCCCTTCCATTGGCGGAAGGGGACTAGGACCATCAGATCCACCCGTCAGTACCCCCCGGGGAGTGGAAGCATGCCATCCTTTCTCACCGGAGGGAACCTCGTCTTCTCTGACATTCCCGAGTGCAAGACAGGTTCGCTTGCCGGAAACTTTCCCAAATGCTCTCCCCCCCCCCCCAGTACTCACCAAAAATCAAGAGCAGATAACCCGGCTCATCCTCAGTCTGCCTAAAATCTTCCCTTTCCCTTCCCAGGTCACGACTTGACTCCCAAGTTGGGGCAGCAGGCTCCCTAGCAAGCCCGGCTCGCAGCCGGGCCACCCCCGAAGGAAAAGGACCCCCGAGGCTCCCGACGCCCCCGCCCCGGGCTCACTTCAGCGGAGGACCCCGGCGTCCGCGGCCGGAGGGCGGGCGAGCGGGCGGGCGGGCGGGCGGGCGAGCCGGCTTCCCCGCCTGACTCACCTGGAGGGGAGGGCGGGGGAAGGCAGGCCGCGGAGCCCCGAGGTCCCGGCGTCGGGCGGTCTCGGGGATGGAGCGCCGAGGTGTTAGGGGCTCGCGGTAACGGGGGGCTCCCGGGGGGAGGGGGGCACGGCTCTAGGCTGGGACAATCCCGGGGCCTCTCGGAGCCCGCCCGCCCACGTGACCGCCCCAAAATATCCGACACATTTTCTCCCAAACCGCACACTGACTCCGCAGGCGGGGACACGGAAAATATTTTCTTTCTTTTTCTCCCTCCCTACCCCCCCCACCTCCCTCCCTGCCCGGCTCCCTCCTCCCCCTCCCGCCCTCGCTCCTCCCTCCCCTGCCGCCTGCCCCTGCCCGGCTCCCTCCTTGGTGCCCTGGGGCTGGGGGGGGGGAGTGGATGGGGGGGACTGGGCGGGGCGGCCCAGGACGCCTGGGTCTCTGCCCCTCCCATTTGCTGGGCTTCCGTGGCTCCATCCCCGGAGGCCGGGCAGAGCTGGCAGAGGTCAGTGTCCCGGGCTCCGTGATGCCAACCCTTTCTCTCCGGCGCTTTCTCCTTCGCTGCCATTTGGGGAGACTGAGTTGTCTCCTCCGGCCTCGCGTGTGTTCTGCCAGGCCGGGCTCTGGTATCTCTCCCAGGGTAGGCAGTGGGGGACGTGGACACTCCCAGGACGTGGGGTGATGGAGCAGGAGGATGCCCGGGGAGAAGGCACTATCCCCTTAGTTAGCCTCCACCTGTGGGTCAAAGCAGCCTCCCCCCCTCCCCCCTGCACCCCGGCCTTCTCAGTCCTATGGCCTTGGAACAAACTGGTTTAACTCCTGGGGGTCCTGAGGGTGCTGCGAACTGGGTTCCCAGACCTCCTCCCTCTCACACCGCCTGCAGTCGGCTCCAGGAGTTAAGGCGCGTGGGTCTCTCGCTGCCAATATTGTCCCCACCTTTAGGCTTGGATTTGGAGGGGGAGAGGCTGGGAGGAGGGCTGAAAGAACATTGGGGGGGTGGGGGGGACTGGGAGGAGCCTTGCGCTGGGTGTGAGGGAGAAAGCCCAGGCGAGGGTGTGTGTCTGGCCCAGCCAGCGAGGCCTGCCTGGCTGCCTGGTAGATGCGCCACGAATGTTGTTGACGCTGCTGGGTCCCTAGAAGCCCAGAGCCAGTGTCTGTGTCTGATAGGGACGTCCTCTGACTTCAGAGAAGCCAAGACTGACAGGCTCTCATCCCACAGAGCACAGAGCCAGAGAAAAGTGGAGTCCAAGGTCTGTGCACAGAACCGAAGCACTCCCCCAGGGGGAAGAGGAGAAGGATCCTCGGACAGGCCGGGCCAGGCACTAGTCCACAGGATCATCCCCAGCAGCACCCCCAGGGTGGCCAGCACCTGGGGAATGGGCTCCTCGGTCACATCACATTTTCCACCCTGGCATTACTCAGCTCTGGTCTTGCTGATACCCTCGGGGCCAGGTGTCCTCCCCCCGGGAAAGACTTCTTTGGGTAGCCACTATCTGGTGAAAGAGAGTTGGGGGGTGGGGGGAGAGGAGGCATGCGGTGGTTACCCCAGGAGACCAGAGACGTCATGGGGTGCAGACAAGCGCTCCTTTTCACTCTAGGGCTGGGAAGAGCTGGGAATAGGTACTCCAGGGTTCTGTCCCCAGGTGGCCCGGCTGCTGTTGACTTTGCTGGTTACCCTGGGAGCAGCTCTCAGCAGTGTGGGAGGGGTGCGTGTCAGGGAGTTGGACCCTGGCATTGAGGCTGGGGTGGGATAGTGAACTGCCTGTGTGGCAGAGACCTTGCCAGGAGGCTGCGACGTTAACCCCTCCTGCCCTGCCCTGGTGGTGGCTGGCGGAAGGAGGGGCGGGCCCAGCTGCGGTTTGGGAATGTGGCCCTAATCCCCCTCCCCACCCCACCCCAGCACATCTGTACTTGGTTTACAGTGAATGAGTCTCCTGTCCTCGTGAACCAGGCTTGGGCACCATTCCCTTCCTGCCCAGGCACTGGGACACAGACCCAGGCACCACCCTGCTCAGCTCTCTCCACCGGCTCTCCCTTCCCTCAGTTCTTCCCTTCACCTTGAGAGGATTTCAGGGCCTTGACCCAGAGACCAAGCATTGGAGCTCCGAGGCTGCAGCTGGGGGCAGTGATGGGAATGGAGAAGTTAATGGGGGTGGAGGTGGGGGTATGGGAAAGCATTCAAAGGGACAGTGAGTCTAAAATTCCATTGTTCCTGCCTTCCCCCTTTGTCTTAATTTGTTGATATGTCTCTCTTTGTCTGTGGCCGGTGTTTGTTCTTTTTGTTTGGTTGGTTTTTTTTGTTTTTTTTTGAGACAGGGTTTCTCTGTGTAGCTTTGTGCCTTTCCTGGGACTCACTTTGTAGCCCAGGCTGGCCTAGAACTCACAGAGATCCGCCTGGCTCTGCCTCCCGAGTGCTGGGATTAAAGGCGTGCGCCACCAACGCCCGGCCGGTGTTTGTTCTTTTATCCACCCTGGTTACTATAACTAATTACGTACGTGAAATTTCCTTGTTTTAGCCAAAGACTGGAGTGGGAGATGGAGAGGTGATGACCAGGAATATTTGCCCGGTACCAGCCTCTCTTATCAGTAATTGTCTCTGCCCCTAACCAAGACCCAACCACTGGGGTTTGTAACAGAAGCAGTTGGCCACAGCAGGCAGGGCCTGGTGACAGAGGCCTGTAATCCCAGCTACTCAAGAGGTTGAGGCAGAAGACTCACGCATTTAAGCCTTGGGGCTGGAGAGATGACTCAGCAGTTAAGACTTGCTAATCTTGCAGAGGGCCAGGGTTCAATTTCCAGCACCCACACAGGCTCACAACCATCTACAACTCTGCTCTCTTTGAGGACCAGGCACTCATTCAGGCAGGCAAAACAGTTATGCCTACAAAGTAAAATTTAAAAAGCTTAAAAAGAGGCCGGGCGGTGGTGGCGCACGCCTTTAATCCCAGCACTCGGGAGGCAGAGCCAGGCGGATCTCTGTGAGTTCGAGGCCAGCCTGGGC